ATGGTGGGAATCACTGACACAAAACATTTAAATACAAAAAATGTGAAGTGCCTTTGCACTGCTTGACAACTTAACTTGAACCAATGGTAAGACTTAACAATGAATGCACCTCATCTATTCTTAAAAAAAGAGAGAAAAAAAGACAGTCATAAGTGTAATTTGCTAGGTGTTCAAGCTCATACAAAAAATTCTGCTAATTGAAATTGTTTTTTCAAGATTTACTTCAAAAAAATCAAGTTTTTTTAAATTTTTTTCCCACTATTTTGGATATTTATTTTTATTTTACTTGGATTTTCTCCTGGGATTTGGATATTTCATTCAACTCCACTATTTCAATGAACAACAAGTATTACAAGGATTTCCTTTGCTGATTGTAAGTAATCATTTCATATATATAAAAATACATCATACTCAATTTATTAGCTCACGTTATATTTTCTAGAGATCGATATATTTTCTAGCATTGCCAACTGCTCCACTTTCCTTTAAAATATTTTATTGAGTGGTAAAGAGTTTAAAACAAAACCTTGCAGAATTTAAGATAATTCTGGCAAAATTTATAATGCTCACCTGGAACAAAATTATGTTTCACGTGATTTTTTCGAATTATTTGTTATTTATACGTAGAGGGGGGAAATAATTTTACATTAAATTTACATGAACAAAGAATCATACAATAAACATAACTTTTGCTACCGGTAGAAAATATTTTTCTTCACGGGAGCAGAGCAAGTTTGCATCTCTATATATGTGGATTGAGAAGGACGTTTACCCTCCTCGCCTTATGAGATTATAAATTTAAAATTATAATATTTTGTTTTTGTATTTAACTACTTTCATTAAGAAAAATAAAGAAAAACAAGCATTAAATAGGCACATTTATATTTTGGTTACAAAAAGTGACTGTGTAATTAGATGCTCGTTATTGTATTATAATTATTAAAAACAATGTGTTTCTTAATGAGAAAAAAAACGAATGTTAAAATTTGAAATGTTGTGGAAAAAAAATTTAAGTTTCCGGAAAAATTTTTGCAATAAGTAAATATTTCTGTGTAAATTAAGTAGCATTGGTTAAGTTAAGAGTGCCGACTACTGAGAAATAGATTTCCTTCCATTCATTAAAAGATAGATTTAAGGTTTAACCACTCATAAAAGTTCAATTTATTTATTTTTACCAGATTAATTTATTTTTCAATATATTTATTTATTTATTTATTTACTGAATGGCTACATTAAGGAACATATAGTTAATTGTTCACACTGATTTTTCTTGCTCTTAAGTCACAGAAATATTATTCACACACAATTTTAATTTTAAATTAATAATTTAAACTCAAATTGCAATAATTCTTCTGTTTAAAAATTGAGGATAAAAAGAGTTGTGCAATTTATTTCGACCTTAGTTTGCATTTTTTAATTTCATTTATTAATATTTATTAAACTTCCTTCGATTTCTAAGCACACCCTTCCACAGCATCTCGGACACAAAATTTTTTATTGTTTCTTACTTTTAAATCTATTTTGCATTTTATTTCAGATTTCCATTTTTTTTCTTCATTAAAAGAATGGATTTAAAATAAAAATTATTTGAAAAAAAAATTACATTTCTTTTATATTATGCACCATTTTATAACTATACAAACATATTTTGATTTTGTTACTACTATAGACATATTTTTGTAGTTATAAATTGTACTTGAAAAAAAACTGTTAAACTGCTTTCAAAAGGATTAATATAAAATGTCCTTTATTTATATATTATATTTGTTTCTTATAATTAAAGTAAGATGAAAACAAAATAACAATGAGGTTATAATATGTAATTTATAACTATCTATTACAGCAGTACCATAATAACAATTATTTTTTTCATTAAATAATTCCCTTTGTTTTAAAAAAATAAGTTTAGAAAAAATAAACATCTTATAGAAAAATTAGATCTTGTTTATTTATGAAGCATATGCATTTTTATAATGTATTATCATAAAAATTCAAAAGCCCTCTCTTCCCAAAATATTCAAAGTTCTTTTTGTTGATTTTGTAGTTCTTTTGTTGATTCATAAATTTTCAATTTTATATATACCGCTCTGCGAAAAAATATAAATAATTCATAAAGCGTCTGCAGATGACAATTCTCAAATTTTTGTATTTGATTTTGGCAAAATTATTTTCATTAAAAACACATTGTATAAATATTTCTTGGCATATGTGGGCAATTCCGTAAAATTACACCCAGTCTTAAATTCTCACTCCGCATTCAAAAGTATCATTCAATGCAAGAAATACTTCAAAAAAAATATTTAAAAATAATCAGGAAATATTCTCCAGAAGATACTGAATATAAACTTCCTTAATAAATTACGAGTAAAATAAAAATAGGAGATCTAGGTTTTCTTTTTGATTTCGGCATCACTTCCCTAGCAACGAATTTACTTGGGCCATTATTAGACCAATATCCACGAATCTTAGCTCAATGTAGGTTCAAAGGGCTGTTATTTTCCGATATTTTGCTCTATATAGAATTTTATTATTCACCCGATATTTTATAGCCTCTTTACAACCAATATCGACAATCAATAAAGCATGGTAGTATTCACCCGATATTTTATATTCATTTTTCAGCCAATATAGGCCCTATGTAGACCCCATGAGGACCAATATTGGCCTTATATAGGACCAATACTAGAAAATCTAGACATCCCAACATTGGTCTCTCTTTGCAGGTTTATATAGTACCCATATTGAGCCAATTTTGAGCTCAACCGGGGCCAAGGTAAAATTGTTGCTAGGGTTTTTATTAGTTTCCAAAATTATGAAAAAACAATGTTTTTACTTCCTTCTTCTCCCACCATTGTAACACTTTCTGTCCCATCATTTTAGGCAAGCATTTTGATGACTCGAGATTGACCCCCGGGATCTCTTCCTCGCTTTGGTAACCCGAGGATCTGCGCACGAAGTCGAAAACTTTAAAGCGGAACAGTTTAACGACGACTCATACCATGCACCCTCAGTCCCTACGCAGGCGGATCATAATGAACACCCATCGGCTTACTGATTGCGGCCAGTGAAGCTTGACTTCGATGTTCTGCTAAGAGCCGTGTCTTTACAATTTACCCACTGCGTGACATTATTAAATAAAGAATAATAAATTCAGGTGAAAGTTTTGAATTGAATAAATCGAAATATAAACAATAAAGCGATTAAGAACCGTTAACCATTAAACAGAACACTTCAAAAGTAGAGGAAATTTGGTAGTATGCAGTTTCGTTATTTACGAGCGATTAAATTTGTAAGTGATTTAGGGGCCGTTCAAAAAGTACGTACACAAAAATGGAGAAATTTCAAACCCCTCCCCCCCCTTCGTACATTACCGTACATAAGGTCTTACTCCCCCCCCCTTAGAGTACGTACATTTTATTAGTCTACCCCCCTTTTTCATAAAAATTAAAATAATTATGTTTTAAATAAAATTAAATATTTACTTAAGGAGTGTGTAGGATAAAGTCAAATTTAAATTTGGTGTATGTTTATAAAGTACGTACTTTCTATAATACCTCCCCCCCTCCCCATCGTACAAAACCGTACATAATAGCAAATCCCCTCCCCCCCCTTCGGGATGTACGTACTTTTTGAACGGCCCCTTAAGTGATCACGATTTGGTCAAAAATGACATCACTGCGTGTAGGAAGGGAAATGATATGTCTCAGCTAGAGCGGATGCGATTTCTGGAAATTGATGAAAATTTTAAATATATTTGTTTCTGATTTTCTTTATTTCTGTTTAATAATTTATTACTGATTTTCTGAAATGTATTTTTTAGTATTATATTTCAAAAAATTCAATTTAAATAAAATAAATGGCTGTGCATTAGAAAACAAGAATGCAATTAACTGAATTTTCGAAAAAACGCTGATGGCAAGAAGAATAGTAAAAGTACTGCTGGGGATAGGGTTTTACATAGGAAATAAATATAACTATCGTGACTTCAAACAGTATTTTGTTTTGTTTCTGTCAGAAATGTTAAAACATAAAATTCATACGACAAATTAAATATTTCTTTTAATTATTAAAATTTTTCAAAATAAAAATGCTATTTACAATTCACTCAATTTAATGATAATTTCTATTTGAGTAAAGGTTAATGAAATAAAACTTAATATTGATATTACATAAACATTTACAAGAAAAGTAAGTCATGAGCACACGTAAAAACGAAATCTGTTGTCAAGTAAACGTCAAAAATACATTCCACTTCACTTCCACACGTAGTGATGTCATTCTGGATCATTAACATGAACCGGCCACTGTGAAATTTAAACGATCGTATATTACTTACGTAGCACTAGAGCTGTATTATGAGCTATTGGTAAGAGACTGGAAAGCACCCTGGGGGGGGGGGGATCCGTAGACATACCATCACAATTTGGATCCTATGCAGAGGAGATTCCATTTGTGAGGCCACTTCCTCAATTTAGACACAAATATGTAGGGGAAGGAAATTTTCGGCGGATCCTTATACCCATGAAACTACTCCGTGACAGACAGCAGAACTTTCGATTCCTCAGATTTTACGAGCATGTATTTGGTGTGTCTTAGCAGAGTCGAGAATCTCACCCGGCTCTTCCTGACTGGAGTTCAATTCTCTAAATCCTGGGCAATCACATTGATCGAAAAATTTGGTGCTGAATCCAAAAGCTTTGTGTCATGCTCGCAGAAATGATCTTATTTTTAAATATCACATGCTCGCACAAGCTTTTGTCACATTTACATGTGATCGCTTATAGGGCCATTCACGCTGCATGCGAAAAAGTCGCATAAACGAATTCGGAGATGCGAGCAATACAAGTTTTTAGAGGGTGAATACATTTCACCAATCAGGCTCTCATTCGAATCTGCAAATTCACAAGCGCGTGACTTCATAGCATGTAGTGTGAATAGTCTCTAAGTAAATCTCATTCAGATGATGTCTCAGTGCTTGATATTCATAATCTACTTAACTGTCACTTTGACTTAGAAACTCAATTGTCTTCTGCTAGATTTTTGTTTAGTTTTACTTTTGTTTATAGCGCGTTATTTGGTCTGAGATCGAAAAATTTTGATTTAATTAAATTTAATTTTATGGCTTGTTTGTCTGAGCTTGTTTCTGCTAGCATTATAGGTTTTTTGAACTCCTCTTTTTGAAATATTCTTATTATTGTTGTTAACTTATCTAAAAAATTCAGAAATACTTAAAAATGAATCTTAAAAATAGTGAATAGTTTTCTCTAAATTTCGTATCAAAATAATTTGATTTATTAAAATTATATAAAGTGCATAATTTTAAAATAAAAATTCTATATATTTCGAGTTATATATGAATTTTTCTATCAAATTAGACAGCCAAATTTGGCGTGAAAGTGCTTGTTGTATGGTGTCAAATCATTTATTGTACTTTTTTCCACTTATTGTTTAATGCTTTAATTTTCTAGTTAATTGAATGATTCTGTATTCAACATCGACTTATATTAAATTTACCTTTCTTAAGAGTGTAATTTTGAACGAATGAAAATCTTTTATAAATATGCAACTTATGTTATTACAGATACTAAGAAATTACCATACTTTATGCCTTACTGAAAGCATAAAAATACTCTTTTTCTTTACTATTGTTTTGAGAATTCTTTTTTCACTTGTTTTAATTTTAGTTCTTAAGCAAATTTGAAATTATAAATTATTTCTTCCACATACTTTCATAGTTTAACTTTTACGCAGCTTGAAATCCTGAGGCACTTGAGAACAAGAGAGGTGTTAACAAATAGGGCATATTTCTGTATCAATACCTTTCGGTGCCTACTTATGTGTAAAAGGTGTAAAAGGGCTTTTTATGACAATAGCTTTCATAGTCTAAGGTGCTCCTCTGTAAGATTTATAAGTGTGTCCTATCTTAGACTTACTACAAAGAATTTAAACTTACAATATACAAAAGATGCAGTGATGGGATATTAGATTAATTATACTCATTAATTTTATTTTAATTTAAGGTCATTAATTAATAGCAATTACAATGAAAAGGCAAAATCTAGAAATGGTACTCTGTTGAAACATATACACATACCACTTTGATATGATATTTATCTTAACACTAAACATACCATAACCAGTTATTGTATGCCCTGTGGCAGAATTTTTTTGGCTTTCTAGCACTATCTTTATGCAAGATACTTTTAATAATAATAAATATACATGTTACTAATTTAATGTAACAGAAACATTGTAAACTAAAAGTCATTTTTTTTAATTATATTAACATGGGTGATATTCTCACATTTTATAGGAGGAAAACTCACTAATTATTTCCATTTTTGCATTTCATAAATCATCACATAAAAAAATTAAAAATTGTGAAATTCATAACAGTAACTTCTGAAAAAAATCAGCAATGAAATTATGGGAATTCGACTTCCTAAAAAGGGGTAACTAAATGCGTGTTTCGTATCGAGATTCGGTTGTTGTAATAAATTATATTGTATTAAAAATATGGCATTTTAAAAACTGTGTAGCAATAAATGCCCCCCCCCACACAAAAAAAGCAATAGAATATTGCTTTAGAACTTAAATATTCATATGCGTGATTCGAATTTCTCATATTGCCAGAAATATATATTTAAAAATCATGTGAAAATCAATATCTATAACTGCCGAAAATACAAACAATCGAAATAAAGCTTGGATTTGCGACAGTATTGGCATAAAGTGAGCGTGTCAAAAAGTGATTATTGAAATGCACAATTAAAATTTTATGTGCAGAAATAATATTAACTGAGATTTAACCAGAATTTTAAAAACATGTGTTATTCGGTACCATCAGCAATAAATAGTCAAGAAATGATAAAATCCTCACATTAATATTAATTATTTATTTGAGTTTCACATATAATTAAATTGTATTAAAAACATCAGGATATGTTTTTTTTTTAAATGTGAAAATGCGTAGCAATAATAAGAGTGTTAGAAAAATTGCTTGAATTAACGAGAATATTAGCACTAAACAAGCTTGTCAAAGAATGATTTCTTTAACCCCCGATTCGAATTTCGCATTAGTAGTAATAACGGTATACTTCAAAAATTCACGAGAATATAAATAATAACTGAGCAATGAAAGACATTGAGATTTTTAAAAAACAAAACAGAAATTTTTAGAAATAATTGCCAAAAAAATTTATCAAAACACTACATATATTTACAATGGAACTCAAGTGTGTGATTTAAAATTTTCATGTGCTTAATTTTTTTAAAAAAAAATAGTGGATCCATTTTATTTCAACCAAATTAAAACAAAAAAGTAGGACATTATTTTACCACAAATCTGAATTTGTAATAAAATCCCCACTCATAGTCAAATTTTATTAATACATGTAAAGTATGGTGTACTTGAAAAGTATATATAAATATGAATGAAAGAGCATGTTTTCTTTTTAACTTTCTCAAATTCGGATCCCCCCCCCCTTATACAGGGTTATTCATAATTCCCTCCGGGGTTTCAAAGCGTTATAGTAAAAAGAAAGAAGACGAATATGAAAAAAAGAAATATATGAAATTATTTTGAAACTATTCAAGTTTTACTTACATACATTACAGATGTTCTATGTGTGAAACCTTGGTCACACGGCATACATTAATGCGATAGTCCAGTTCCTGCCCGGAGGGAATTAAGAATAACCCTGTATTTTCTAATTGAAATTCTAGCTGAAACCAGTCATTATCGAATTTTTGTATTCTTAAATAAGAATCGAAAAATGATGAGCATTTCTTTTCCTTCGGATGCACGTGAAAGGGATCTTTTGAAAAAGGAAGTAAAAACTATGTTATATAATATACGTTCTTATATAATAATTCTGGAGAATAAAAATCCTTTGAAAATCTCATGTTGCAATAACATTGCTTTGAAATATTGGAATTCTAAATACCACGTGGAAATGCATGCCGACGAAAAAACATGGTGTAAACAAATTTGGTGGATATTCAATCCAAATTATTTTCCACCATTTCTTCGCCAGTTAGCCATGCATTTCCACATGGTATTTAGAATTCCGATATTTTAATAAAATGCTATTGCGACATGAAATATTCGAAAAGTGGAAAAAAACAGGAATTTTTAAGCTGCTCACTGTTTGTAGTTTAGTTTTAAATTTTTTGCAGTGCAGCTGATTTTTTTTTAGAAAAAAATGAAAAAGAAAGCATTTCTCATTTAAAATTTATAAAACTTTTAATAATTCAGAAAATAGAATTAATATTTGAAGTATAATAACAAGCCAATATGGAATCTTATTTTATAATTTGAATTTATATTACTCATTAAAATATGTATTTTTTTCTTATACTTTTATTCTGTGGATATATTTTTTTTTCCTTTTTGTTAAAATTTATTTTAAAATGAGCTTTTGTATCGTGTGATATGTTAAAAAAAATTCTTTTCCCCAATTTTACTTTACATATATTTTTTGATACATCAGTTTTTGATAAAAAGGGAAAAAGTTTTTAAAAAAGTATCAGTTTTCTCATTTTTGAATAAATTCTAATGATTAAAAGCATTTAGTTTTCTGTAAATATGTTACCAATTTTACTGATTAAAGAAATTTAGTGCTTAGAACATTAATGTTTATTATAAAAATGGTCCTATTTGCCCTCAACATGTCTAAGTATGCATGCAGCCCTTTGTTATTCAACCTGCTTTGCAAGTAGCCCTTCACTCAAAAAGGTTATGCACTCCTAATATATAAATGAAAAAGTTATTTTTATTGTCTTTCATATTGTTATTTTTTCTAAAGAATGTGCCCTCAATCCTAATGGTACCACATGCAGCGGGGATGTTAATTTCGCCATTGGTCTATGAGTTACACCCTTATAGTTAGTTCCCTTCTATGATGGTTTTTTTTTCTTCTTTTTTTTTTTAGTTTCTAGCATAATGTTGCCCAGAGGTCACTGAAATTTGGCAATTACTTTGGTTTAGGTACTGGTATGGAAATCTTCTCAATTTCATACTTATTGTTCCATAAAAACACTATAAATCTTCAGATGTATATCAATCAACCTTTATTTATATATGTTGCATATTTTATTTATTGAAAATTCATAATAAATATGTTGCACAATAGTTAGCTATTTCCCTGTTAATTCTTGTATTAAAGATCATAAAAAAATTATAGTTTAAATCTGGTGAACATGAGTGTTTGATTGTAATTGCAAACTCAGGAATAACAAACTATTTTTTTTAACCCAAAAATCACACTATGTTTAAAAAAGTTCAATATTTCCTAATTATGTATAAATAAAGAGTAAGAAATTTAGAATTTCAATCCTTGTGAATCAGAATTGTGACTCTTGATTATTAGTGCCTAGGAACTAAGTCAATTTTTGCACCCTTTTACTTTTTCTCTAAATTTATTTGAGTTATGGGATCTGAAAAAATTGCATTTCATAATATTTTTATTCAGTATAAATTTTTTTTTGAAAGTTTAGCCTCTTTATGTAATTTCTTCATTTTTGCAATTTTCATTGTACCTCTAGAGCTAATTGTACAAATCACAATTTTGTGTTTTGCAAGGGTATCAGGTTAGTGACTTTACCTCACTAACATCACCTGGGCTGTGGAGTTGATAGAGAAAATGACCAACTCCAACTCCTAGAAGTTTAAAGACTCTGATTTCCTCATATATATGCAAACATATACCCACATGTTTTAGCTTTTTTTTCTTCTTCTTTTAAATGTAAAAGAAGTAATAGATGCTACAGAAAAAAAATTGCATAACAAATTATTTATATTATAAGCATTTATTAAGTAATAAAAACTGACTTGACTAATTTTTTAGAAACAGTATAGCTTTATCAAGATCTTCTTTGATAGAGGACCATAGATCTGTTTCTTCAGAGCGGAGAATAGTAATTTTACACTACCTTGAGAGCTGTTACTGTTAGGGCTACTTCTTTTAACTTTTTAGGATAAATTTGTTTAAGTTCTAAAGAAGGTGTCTTTCAAGAGTGATCATACTTCTTTATTTCTTCAAGAGCTGTGTACAAATTTTGTTTGTATTTTTTTATGTATGTATCTAAAGGGTCTTGGCTCTTTATTTTCATTTGCATTGCCTTAGCCTTATCAATATTATCTAAATATTTCTCAAAATCTAATTCCTCATTTGAAGAGAATGATAGACTCAATTGCAATGTCTGCAGTCTGACTGTCCTGATTTGAATACTCCAGTTGTTTTAGAATTAATTTCATTTGTAGCGAAATTTCATTTTTTTTTTTTCATCCCTTAATTTATTAGTCATCCAACGATTTTTTTAAAATTTCGAATTCAAACTACCCAACAAAAACTGGAGTCAGAGTGTATGTATTTTTAGCGACTTCATAACTAAAGCTCCTTTTACCCGCAAATTTGCCTAACTCTTACTCCACAACCCTGATCATAGCAGCCGCAGGAAATTTTATCTTCTGATGTTTCTCTTGAAAAATGTATGCCTTAAAAATATTAATCAAGATTAATAATTGCTGAAAAAAATGAGCTGTAGGTAGCATGAAGGAACATAGCATTCATAATAAGCAACTGCTCGTGAATTTCCACAGTGAAATTAACCATGATGTGCATTTAAGTAAAAAAAATATTATTTGATATAGGAATATTGCAATATTTGATTAATCATCTTGTTGGTTAGTTACTTGAATTTGAATAAAAATTTTCTTAAATAGTTTCATTCCATTAAATATTATAGAGAAAAATCTACCTACATTAAGAGAAAGTAGGTAGGTTCTGCACAAAATTCAGTTAAGACTCGATATGAAAATGGTGACTTAAGGTACTAGCAATAATTCAATATTATGGGAGAATTTCTCATTTTATCTTTATATTTGTATGTTTCATTTAAACACTTTTTTTTTTTTAGAGAAAGATACAAACAATGATATTTTATGGGCATGGAGTTATCCTTCAATTTCTTCTGAAAGCAAAACTTTGATTGTAAATAAGTGTGGATTGAAAAATGGTCTTGGTCTAAGTCATGGTCATCATTTAGTATCATTTTGTTATTGCCATCATCATCGCTCTTGGTTTTATTTGCATCTTACTGATGTCTTTGAACTTCCTAATCTTCCCAGGGTAATATATTTTATTTTACATTCTTTATTATAGACTAGTAAACTCATTCAAGATATTGATCATCTATATTTGTTTATTCAAGATGTCTTCTAAGGCTTATTTAAGATGTATAAGATGATATCAATCAGTGAGAGGTGTTAACTATTGTGATTTATCTGCAATTTTTACAATTTCGTAATATAGATTACGATGTTACTATTGAGTGATAAAAATTACAGTGTTAACAATAAGTTTTTTTCTGGACTACCAAGAATTATGAAATTTTGTTGAGTTTGCACTGAATATTTGGAAAAAAAGGAATACTTTAGTGATATTTTTTTATTTAATAGTAAGTTTGTGATTAATGTTATTAATATTAGGTATATATCTATATAAAATTAAGTACTAAAAACATCCTAAAATTGCACTAATTTTAATTTTGTTAACATTCGATTTATTATTGTAGTTCTGGTAAGCTGGTATCTCTGCTAGTTGCTTGCTTCCAGGGTAAATCCTTGTGTGTAGAACCTCTGCGAAATCAAGCTGATTCATTTATGCTCTATCATTTACAGTCCTTATAATTTTCCAACTGTGTGCTAATTTGTGAATGACAATTAATGTGTTAAACTTAATTATAAAAATATAATAATTAAAAAACTGGGAACTGGCTTAATTCACCTTTTGTTAAATACAAGTTCCATAACTGGCTTATGAGTTTTTGTTCATATGCAACAAAGAAAAAAAAAACTATCTCCTTTGTATCAAGAGAGGAAATTAAAGACTTCAAAAAATAATAAAAGACTAAAATGAAAATCATCTCTGGAGCTGCAACTAACAAAAATATATATGTTAAATTATTTAATAAATATATTTTTGTTAATTGTAACAAAATATTTGATGTTATTCCAAAAATTATTTATGCATAAGTGCAGAGACATTTTCATAAATTAATAAAATATTTTATTTAATGCTACTAATCCATAAGATTTTCACATACAACTTAAATTCTTAACATTTCTATTTTAAAAAATAAAAAAAGGTTCTAGTATTTTATTACCTAGCAAGCATATTACTAATTTATCATTGCATTAAATTTGATAATACACTTTTGCCTTCTGTTTCTGAGTCTGAGCGGATTCAATATGGCTCATCATTATGGAAAAATGAACAAAATGAAATTTTTAAAAATAAAAAAATACATAGCTTTCTATTTATTGAAATTCTAGGAGGCACAAGTGCCTTCTCTTATGCTTCGATGAAAAAACAGACAGATTTTATTCTTGAAAGTAATAAAATAATAGCAAATCATTCAGTTGTTTCTCAAGTTAAAGTAGTTTAAAAGGTGAATAGGTATATCCTGATGCAACAGCTAGCTCAAATTATGTTAGCATATAGTAGTAAATAAACTTCAGTCAGTAATAAATTTAAGAAATCCTTTCTTTAACATTGGTTTTGTAAAAATACCTTTAGCAGTTCATCCTTGGAATGATATGGCAAAGGCAAAAGCTGTTTTAAATTACTGCAGTATTTATACTCAAAATTCATTTATAAATAATATAAATATCACAAAAAGTTATATAAAAAAATAAGCTGAAAAATGCTTATTAGAAACCCATACAAAATGCAAATTGATAAATATCAGAATGATTGTTACAGTTGATGATTCTGTCATCAAGAAATGTGCTTTGCCATAACCACAAAAAAGTAAGATAAATTTAAATTCAGTGTAAACAGTATACAATTAGGCAAGTATTCTTAATAGATTGGCATAGTTTGATGCCCTCAATCCATACACAATTGTACCTTTTAATCGGAATAATGTAGTGATTTGGATATTGTTTGCCTGGTTTTAGTTATTTTTTGTTATTTATGTTAAATGCATAGCTACAGAAAGTTATACATTTGATAAACTTATCAAAATAGTTGGCAGTTCTCTTTTTAAACTGCAACTAATAATAATTCATAATTACATAAATTACAGGGTGCCAAAATTATGAGACACGATATCATTTAGAGAAGTTTGGGCAGAAATTTTAGCTAGGTTTAACTAATGCATATCCAATATGGGACAGGAGCAAGCAAACTGAAGAATAATTCTTCAACAAATTAAATGTATACCTGTCTGTGAAGACGCAACAAAAATCCTAAAAGCAAGGGCAGTGCCAGTAGGGGGTCAGGGGGCATTGCTTAAATTTTTTTTTCGACCTAACTCTACCTTTTCAGTAAAATATGAATTTAGGTCTTTAGCTTGGCCAGAAAATTTAACATTTTGAAAATCGTTAAAGCCAAAGGGAGGTGAAAAATAATGTTCTTGAAAAATTTCAACAATTTCCTGATATGAATTACAATTAAGGCAATTATTAATATACAATTTCAAAGCTGAACCTTTAATGAATTTTTGAAAATTTTTAACCTTCCAATCGTCATTTAATTTAGCATCAACAGTTAGTTTTTCGAAATGTTTGAGCCAGGCTGTGAATTGAACACCAATGTCAGGCTCAAAGATTAGTACAGTAATTTCCGGCAAATAGGCCGCGGCCTATACGTGTTTAAAAGTTGGGCTGTCATGATGCGCGGCCTGTACGCCGATGCGGCCTATATGTAGAATTTTTTTATCCCATCCCACAAGTGAGATTTTTTTGATCATGGTGGATTTATTCAAAATCAGATGTTTAGCGAAAATTTTCCAAAATAACGAACCTAATTCGTAATGTTTACTCTGGTAACGTTTTTCTTTCTTATTTTTTAAATGAATTTGCCGAATTTCGGATCGCTTTCGGAAATTCCAATATGGCGCCCATATATTACGATAATCCAATTATACTGTTAATTTCCGAAAATTAATTAATTACAATAAATTTAGTTCGGTTTTGATCGTAGATTATGATGGGGTGAATTTAAAAATGTCCCATCTTAAGACATTTCATTAATTAAAATAATTATCTATATTATAGAAATAACAATATATATTTTTAATAAGCTAACAACTAATGATTAAAAAACAAGCTAACAACTAAATACAATTTAAAAATAAAAACTAGCTTTCAAATAATAAAAAAAAATAGCAATTAATATCTAATAAAAAACAAAAGAGATTGATTTACATCGAATAAAAAGAAGCCTCAAAAGGGATAGAATTCATTTTGTATCCCACTTGGTAGTTTCAATTTCAAAAGGGTGTGGCTAATTTATGGTCAAACTGGAGGGGGAAAAAATGGGGACAAATGAGTAGAGCATTTCCACAGCTGTCAAGATTGATTTATCAGTTTCTTCCAACTTGCATTTCTTTATTTTGTTCATTGGAAATGCAGATGTTTTTACTTTTCCCTTTATTTTAAACTGCTTTTAGAAACAGATGTTTCCTTTGACTCAGATTTGTTTTCATGTTTTTTTTTTTTAAAGATAAAATAAAGTTACTTCATCAGAATAAAATTCAAATAA